AGTAAGCTATATAGCCCCAGCTAGGTATCATTTTATAGTATGTTCATTCTACTCACTGAGGTTTATGCCTAAAGTCAGACATGAGTTCTTGTGTATGTAAATATCAGCTGTGCTTGCTATTGCAAATATTTAGACAAATTAAGTTCATTAGCAAATCAATTAAATAGGGGGGATAGGCATAGAAAGCAAACAGGGATAACAGAGACAATGGGAGGAGGGTTGGACAGGGCAGAGGGTTAGGGATAGGGAATCAAGGATGGCAAAAAAAGAAAAAACTCAAAATATGCAAGACATAAGAAATGGAAAATTGTTGATAACACATATGTTGATGTACTTGATTGAGCCAACAGACAATGTATTTTGGATGAAAAATTCATTTTGTATAATGTAATGATGTATAGCATATTAATGTTAAAAAATAAAAACAAATTAAAAAAAAATTTAATTCTTTTTAGACAGAGTCTTGCTTTGTCACGATTCTCCCATCTCTGCCTCTTGAGTAGCTGAGCGCACAGGCACGTGCCACCACACCTGGCTCTTTCACAGATCTGGTACGTTGCCCAGGCTGGCCCAGAATTTGCAGTCTCCTGCCTCAGCTTCCCTGTGCTGGGATTACAGGTGCACACCACCATGGCTGGCTTTCAGTTCCAGCTGGGAATTGAAACCAGGCCTCCCATATAATTTTAGCCTGCAGAGTAGCAGTGTCTTAGCGGTGTGCCCCGTGGTGGCTGAGTGCATGTGTAACTTTTATATGTGTCTTAATTCTTTGAGTTCTAGGACAAGAGACCTGTAAGGAGGGGAAAATTAGACCGAGGTCGGAGGACAGGACTTTTACCTCTCTTCCTTGTCTTCACAACCCTCTCCAAAAACAGCTCCTGGGAATAGCATCCATTTTCAGTGTTGTGTGAAGCCTACTCACATCTGTTCAAATGATTTTTCCTGTTTGCTTGACCTTTGTGGCAAAAAGAATGGGGTATGGGAGGCAAAATCCCACCGCCCACAGCAAAGCGCTTCATTTGCTTGGACATTGGAGTCTAGGCCCTGGTAACGGGGTTTATGTTTAACCTTGAACATTGCCCAAATATGTAAGCCAGGTACAAACGTCACAGAGGGGCCAAGGGTCAGTTGTTCAATGCCTGCATCATCGGTTTTTCGTAAGAACAACTGAGACCAACGGCTATTTCCCCACATGCAGGCTCAAGTCCCCGAAAGCCAACAGGGATCCCAGAAGCCTCCCTTGCGTCTGAACCTTGTGCTCCAAATTAAACACGACCCATTTCGCAGGGCGCAAACGAGCTGCTTCAGCTTCAATGGAGTCTTTGGACTTGACCTTTCTCCGATTATCTCTAAACTTGTTTTTAATAAATGTTTAACTTCTTGATTAATTTCAGGGGGTAATTTTTCACAGCTCAGATAATGTGTTCTAAATGCTTGCTGAGCTGTTGGCTCACTCAAAACTGTAAACACTTCAGATTGCTTTTGTCTCCCTAATATTCTCTCTTCTGTGGGCATGAAGGGTTGCCTTTATTCTTTCTGCCACTCACATAATTGCCAGCATTTAAAGATGCTTGTTTCTCCCTTTCATTGCCATTGGGCAAAGAATTGTTTGTTCAGCTTTGGCTAAATTAGTATTTTTCTGGTTTCTTATCTCTCTTTTTTTGAAGAGTGGCTTATAATTAACTCTTAAATGCTGGCTTTTTTACTGTATTGCTTTCTCTTTGGCAATTCACCTGCTTTTTGTTTTCTTCCTCCCCATCTGTTTACCCGAGGGAGGACACTTCTCGCCCACATCTTTATTCCATTTGCTTTTTAAAAAGCTCTGTGGTTCTTGGGAAGAAGAAAATGTTATCTGCTGCCATAAGATCTGAACCGTCTCCTTTGTCATCTTCCGAGCTCCCTGGGTCGTACTCCCTGTCCCCTGTTCACGGGTATCGGACTTCGTGGCGCCATGTAATCCCATAATGGAACCACAATAAAAGCCAGTCGGATTCCTCAGAGTCCTGTTGCTCTGAGGTGGTCCCATTGCGAGCGTCTGTCAATATGTGAGCGAGAGCAAAGCTGCTGGGAGGATATCTGAGATGGAAGGGGAGATGAGGTGAGGGGGTCTCGGCAGACTTTCTCCAGCGTTTCCCCTCCTGCCAGGCCCCGAGCAGGCTTCCTTTTGCATTCGGTCTCTCTCTTTACTACGTTGCCTTTTCTTGTAAAAACAAGAGCTTTAAACTTTCATTTTATGTCCTGTGATAGTATTTTCTGATCACTTAAGTGCACATACCAAATTTTAAACACACATTGAACATCATACATACTATTGTACATCTTGCTGTTTTCATTTAAATCTATAACTTCAGGATGATATTTCTCTCTTTTTCACTGTTATTTATTTATTTATTTTTTGGAGAGGTTTTTGCTGCAGGGCACGTGCGCTCGCCAGAAAGACAGAGAGAGACAGAGAGAGAGAGAGAAATCACACACACACACCCCTTCCCCCAGGGAAGATGTTCACGTCGCAATACCGTCTCCTCCATTCTCCTCTTGGGATCTTGGGCACGTATATACACATGCCTGGCGTGAGTTTAAGCCACTGGGTCTTATACTTGAACCACAGGGTGACTACGTGGGAGTCCAGCAACGTAATCATTATACACTTGCTGGTCCTCAAATATCTCCTTTAACGTGATTGCTAAGAAGCCTTCTTTTCCATTTTAGGACCTGTCTATGTATCAGTAACTGCCCTGTCATCCAACAAAGTGCTATATGTTAGTAGGAGCTCTATCAACATTTATGAACCAGACTTAAAATGAATCGCAGTTTATGGAAAAAGTCAAATGGTAGATTGAACAGTTAGAGTTGGGGTATAGGAAGAGTAGATGCCGAAGGCACCTGAGGCTTTTAAATTTTCTTGATTTTTAAAATTTGTTGAATCTCTCTCTTTTTTATATAGAGACTTTCGCTATAGGGTGCATGTGCTAGCCAGAGACACAGAGAGACAGAAAGTGAGAAATCACTCCCTGGGGGGATAGCCATGCTGCAAATCCCTTCTCTTTCATTCTCTCTGGATCTTGGGCATGCACACACACTTGCCTGGCGTGAATTTGAAGCTGCTGGGTCTGGGACTTGAACTGTGGTCCACTATGTGGGAGTCCAGCGACATAACCATCATGTCATTTGCTGATCCCTGTTAAATCTCTTTAAAACCAGTAGAATTACTTTCAAAACCTCTCCACAGTGGTGGTGGGTATTCTTGTTGCTCAGGAAGACCAGAAACAGTTCTATGTGGTCTTGTCCTAACCACCTCCTCCACTGGCATCTGACACCTGAACTGCATCGCTTCAAGATCCTGTCGTCTGCACTGCTCTCAGTGAGTCAGGCTCCACGATTTCCTCTCCAACTCGGAGCCCTGCTTGCAGAGGTGAACACCACAGAGCTGCTTAGTGATGGTGCTGTGCTCTCCCCAGCCTTCCCCGAGGCATTCTCCCTAGACCCTGCCCACGATCCTCTGGGCGCTCTCAGGGCTTCATATCCACTTGAACACCCTCTTAACTGAGGTGTGACACATGTGACAAAATTAACCATGCTAAAAGCAGTTCGGTAGCAGGACACATTTACATCGCCGTGCAACACCACTGCTCTCTAGTTCGAAAACCAATTCATCACCCCTCAAGAAACCTGTACCTGTGAAGCAGTTGCTTCTACTAACCTGACTTCTGTCTCTAGCAATGTACTGATTTTGTATATTTCACATGGAGTATGGAATTACATTGGCCCACTTATGTACTGCTTTTGCAAGAGAATATCCTACATTACTGGTTGCTTTACCTGAGTTGGCTCAAGGTTGCCTTTCGGTTCTATGCACCCCGAACAAGTAAACTTTGGCCAGGGTGGAGTGGGGCAGAGTCACAGGGCCTCTGAGGCAGGAGGGACTGTTGACTGTGTAATCTGGAAGTGCAAATATGATATCCCTAGAACAACCTTTGAAAATAATTTTTGAAAATCTGATTTATTAGGAAGAGAAGTGAGAAACCTAGGAGCCTAAATAGAGAAAAAAGGAATACTGAGGAAAGGAGTTTTATCATTTAATAATTTTCCAAGAGTCTGAACAGATGGTTCATGCAAATTCTCTTAACAGAGGTTCCTAAACTTTGGTATATATGTCAGAGTCTTCTGTAATAAAACACTACAAGGGGGCCAGCAGGTGGTGTGATGGTTAAGGCACTGGACTCTCACATGGCCAACTGTGGCTCGAGTCCCAGAACTGGTGGCTTGCTTTTTCTCTCTCTCTCTGGCTCTTTCTGGTCCAATTGAGTAATAATAATAAATAAAATTAAATAATAAATAATTCTTTAAAAAAACACTAAAACACTACGGGGCCAGCCATGGTGTGGTGGTTAAGTTGGCTAGATCCTACAAGATTGACGGCATGGTTGAATCCTGGATCTGGCAGCCTGAGAAACATGCCAAATGTGTGTGTGTATCTAAAATCTTGATGAGAGTGGAGGAAAAGGGATTGTGGTGTGACTATTCCCTATGGGGAGTGTTTTCTCTCTCTTTTCAGTGAGTACATGTGCTCATTGGCAAGAACAAACAAAAACTTAAATAACAAAACACTGCAGATTTTCTGGATTCTAATTAATTTACTGGGTTGCAGAGAGAGGTATTAGGAACCTACATTTTGTCTCTCTCTCTCTTTTTTTTTTTTTTTAAGAGGGTTTTGCTATAGGGCATGTGCGCTTGCCAGACAGACAGAGATAGAAAGCGAGAAATCATCCCCCAGGGGCGATGGCCATGCTGCAATCCCTTCTCCTTCATTCTCCTCTTGGGATCTTGGGCACCCACGCATACGCAGCCGGCGTGAGTTTAAGCCACCTGGTCCGGGACGCAAACCGCGGTCAACTACGTGGGAGTCCAGTGATGTAGCCTTACGCTAACTGCTGGTCCCAGGAACCTACATTTTAAAAATATACTTCTCTGGTGATTCTGATGTACTCCAGAATTTGAGAAAAGCTACCCTATAAAAATTTTCAGTAAAAAGAGAACTAACAACAGAAAAACAAGCTATTCTCCTAGTTCGAAAATTTGTTTTCAGCTGCCTACCATGTGCCTTCGCTCTACAATGTAGTTATAGCACATGAGAAATTAGAATGCACTTGGATGTTTGATAATGATAATAGCACTACTACCACTAAAAAAGCAATCAGGTGCTAGGTAGGAAAAGGAATTAAGTCATGTGGGGAAGAAAAGGAATCCAGATTCTAATTAAGAACTTTCAAAATTAGTCTTGGGACTTCTGCTTCCAGCCAAAATGAATTGGATATGCCTTCCAATCTGAGAAAAGCAGAAAGCAGCAGGACGAAATTACAAAAAGGCTAAATACAAGGTCAATACAAAACTAGCATTTTCTCTATATGCTAATAGTAAATTGTCAGAGGTTAACATTTTGAAAAAAGAATACCATTTATTTTTGGGAGACCGGCAGGTGGCAAGGTGGTTAAAGGCATTGGACTCCCACATGGCTGACCATGGTTCAAGTTCTGGACCTGGCAACTTGCTTTCTCACTTTCCTTCTTTCTCTCACACACACTCTCTCTCACTATGTCCCTCTCTGATCAAATTAAAATGAATAAATAAATAGAGTTAAATAAAATAATTCTAAAAAGAAGAAAGAATATAATTTATTATTTTAAGAGATTTTTGTGATAAGGCATGCTTGCTGGAGAGAGTGAGTGAGAGACAGAGATAGTGAGAGGAAAAGTGAGAAATCACCTCACAGAGGGGATGGTCACACTGCAATTGCTTCTCCTCTGGTGTCTATTCTCCTCCTGGGATCTTGGGCACACATGCACATGTGCCCAGCGTGATTTTTAAGCCACTGGGTCAGGGACTCAAATCACTGTTGGCCATGTGGGA